GGAGCACACATGGTCAACAGTGACTGACACGCGTGATGGGGAGCACACACGGTCGACAGGGACTGTGACACGCGTGATGGGGAGCACACATGGTTGACAGGGACTGTGACACACGTGACGGAAGCACACAAATCAAAGCGAAAAACACCATGCGGTTACACGGCTGACTGAGTGGAGGCACGGAGCTCGTAAAAACCTCTTCTTTAAACCTTAGGAAATGAAGCGCACCAGCCGCAACTGCGGAGGCTAAGAGCTTCTGAGAGCAGCAGAGGGTATTCACAGACAAGATATACCTTTAAGAAAATAGCTGAAAAATCTAAACAGATAACAAGTATAAAAAGTTTAAAAATATATCTTAAGAGAAAATATCGCCCGAAACATATAAAACTTAATTTTAAAAAATCCACCTATCTAAACTAATGAGGTTGGGTGCAGCCCACGGCCCCTGTCCTCTGCGGGGGCTGCAGCCAGGACGGAGAAGGGGCCGGGCCCAGGTGGTGGGGATTCCACAACTGGGCCAGAAATCAAGAAGGTCTGAGGATGACACCCGGTGCCCACTGTGCCCAGCCTCTGCCCTGCGGCAGGAGAGAAGGGACCAGATCGGCGTGGTCACCTGGATCCTGCTGACGACAAGCTGTTCCAGAACATGCTCATAATGTAACCCCAAGTGGCTGCAGGGTGGTGAGAAGGCCCCCCACAGAGCCAAGCGCTCTGGGCATTTCGAGTAGGGTGCAAACGTATCTGGGGGGAGATCTGGAGGTGGGCTCACACACTCGGTCGGCCCCCGTCTCAGGTCTCTACCAGGATCTCCACAACGTGGTCGAGCTCGCCCAGGTCAGCCTTGCAGCCAGGGCCGGGGGGCGCAGCGGTCAGGGGCGTGAAGCCCTCGAGTGTGTCACAGGGGCTGGCCCTGGAGCTGCCCATCATGCCCGTCAGCACCGTGTCAAGGTCATAGTAGGAGCTGTCGACGTCCGAAAAGAGGTCCTCCACGGAGCTGGGGTTTTTACTTTCCAGGGTCTCAAATATCTGATCCAGCGACTTCTGGAAGCTTCCTCTGCTTTCTCGTGAGCTGTCCAGGTCCCAGGAGCTGCTGCTGGGAAGGTGTCTCGGCGCCTGTGCCACCGTGACTGAGGGGACGTCACAGGTCAGGCCGGCAGCCGGGCCATCTTCGAAGCCTTTAGGGAAGCTGCCATCCTCAGGACCAGGCTGCCCCTGCTCCTGCTCCCGCGCCGATCGGCACAGGACATCCGTGGAGACGAGGCGGTCGAGCGGCGCCGGACCTCCGCCCTGCGGGGCCGCCATGCGCCAAGTCCCGTCCTGGGTCATCTCCTCCTGGATCTGCCGCACGGTGTTGGCAATGAGGACTGAGCGGCAGAGGTTCGGCTCCACCAGCATGTGGCACAGCTGCAGCTTCACCAGGGACATGTCCAGCAGTGACTGCCGCTGCAGGTCATAGGAGGGGACGGCCCGAAAGCCGGCCAGGGGCCCGTCCCCCTCTTCCTCGTGGTCAAAACACTTTCTCTTTAGTCCTCGTGCAAACATTGTGTCCTGCTGGAACCAAGCAAGAGGCCACTTAGCGTAGTTCAGACACTGTTCCCCAAGAGCCAGACCTCAACCCTCAGGGAGAGAGAAGAAAAGGAAGGATCATCTACGGCAAAGGCCCAGACCCTGGACACAGGGCCGAGCGGGCAAGGCGGGAGAACAGGACGCCGCCCTCAGAACGGCTGTGTGACCGTGTGTGTCTTTAGCGTAAACACAGTTAAATCGAGCCAGTAGTTTTACAAACTACAGATCTCTACATTGTACATTTCCTTCGCCGAAGAAGAGAAATGAACCGGCTCTCCCTGGGAAGACGCCCGGCTGACACGGCCACCCCCGTCTGCGTTGGTGGCTGACAGTGGCGGCTCACACGTCTCACAAACGTCCCCAGCGAGCAAAGGCTCGAGCAGATGCCCTCCGCTCTATGGCACCGTTAGGTCCCATTCTGTCAGCCCCTAAAACGTGCAGTCTGGGATCAGCTGGCACAGCCACGGCCTCTGCTCTCCCACCTCCACCCCCTTTCACTCCCAACACCTCTGCTTGGGGGCTGCCCCCCACCAGTGCCGTGTGGCAGAGCGCGGCTAACAAAGGCACCGTCTCTCAGAGCCAAGACTCAGAGCAGCGGTGGGGCAGGTTGAAAATGCAGATTCCTGGGCCCCGCCCCAGCTTCCCCAAAGCAAGCGTGGGGGCGGGGGTGGGGAGTGAGCACCTAGAGCCCCAGTTTGAGGACCCCCAGCACTGTTTGTAAATCCTAACCTCTGCCTGTGGTTCTAATCCCATTTGCAAATGGGTTGTGTTGTTATGCTAACGAGGCAGGTTTAGGTTATGTCAGTGAGGATTAGGTTCCGTTTATTATGTTAATGAGGCAGGATTAGGGCATACTTTGAGATAGAAAAGAGATTAATTAAACAAGCAAGCTAGAGAAGCAAGAGATGGGGGAAGAGAGCCGCCAAGTCCCATGACGATGGCCCAGGAGAAGCTCAAAGAGACAAGGACCTTCCTCCAGAGCTGACAGAGACAGAAAGCCTCCCCTAGAGCTGGCGCCCTGAATTCCGACTTCTAGCCTCCTAGACTGTGAGAAAGTAAATTCTGTTTGTTACAGCCACTCACTTACGGTATTTCTGTCACAGCAGCACCGGATGACTAAGACAGCTGGTGAGGCCCCGCTAGGGGAACTGGGGGCTCCAAGGGCTGAAGTCCCACCACGGCTGCCACCAGGCCCATCTACACAGACGCCCCGACTGACAGCCCTGGGTGTCGGCCCTCTTTAGACCCTGCGAGCACTGTCACAAAGGCCGGCGACCGAGACCGAGGTAGCAGTGCCCCAGCAGACAAAACGAAGGCCAGGGTCGGCACCAGGGGGCACTTCAGAGGAGGTGACAATCCCTCAAGGGACAAAAAGGTCTCCATTCGGAGAGAAAATGACAAAGTCTGATTATACTGGGTGTTCTGGACTACCATTCACATAACCTTCAAATGTGTTTTCAGGATTTGACACACATCTACCTTTAACGACTTTTGAATAAAACAAACCAAAGAAAAAAACCTGTTGTCGTCGAGTCGATTCTGACTCCTAGTGACTCTACAGGACAGAGACCTGCCCCAGAGGGTTTCCAAGGAGCAGCTGGCAGATCTGAACTGCAGAACTTTAGGTCAGCAGTCATAGCTCTTAACCACTGCGTCACCAGGACTCCTACTTTTGAATAGGTGGCCGTACAAACAGGCCTCAGTACTACTGGATAGCTACCAGGAATTTCAGAGTGCATAGCTGAGCCATTTCCGCTAAGGCCGAAACCAAGATAAACAAGCTGCAGAAAGGCACGTAACTCTCCAAGAGCATGGATCCTGACCCAAACCATATTCGTCCTCACCACAAAATCCAGACCCTCAGCACATCCTGCAGGCTCCCTGACACCTCCTCTAGCTGTCCATCTATCCCTGCCCATCCATCTGGTCGTCCACGCTGCTCGCCTCTGCCCGAGCTCCTGGGGCCGTACCTTTTCCCACCCGAGTGCCTCACCTGGCCCGTGGCTGTCCCTACCCACTCCAGATGCCGGCTACCCCCGACGGGACGGTCCCAGAGGAGGGCCAGCTCCTGGCACACGAGGTCACTCCCATGCGTGTGGCACCATCGGGCCCACCTCACGAGAGGACTTATCAGTGACATATTTGTTCTCAGAGGCGAAAGTGGAGACTGTTCTTTTGAAATGATTCTAAACTGAGAAATCTTAGGGGCAAGCACAGCAGAGCAGGAGCAAGAGCTTTAGTTTCTTACCTGCGCCACCTGGCGTGAGGCTGAGGAACTACAGGAGTCGACTCGGCCCCACTAGCCGGCAGAGTTGGCCCCACTTCAAGCCGCCCAAGGAGCACCTTTCTAGAAGAGAAAAAAAAAAAAACCTGTTGCCTTCAAGTTGATTCCAACTCACAGTTACCCTATAGGACAGAGTAGAACTGCCCCACAGGGTTTCCAAGGAGCGACTGGTGGATTCAAACTGCTGACCTTTTGGTTAGCAGCCAAGTTCTTAACCACTGCACCACCAGGGATCCTTCTAGAACAGAAAGGAAAAAGTAAAGCAGCAATGCATTAAGCTTCTCTCCTTTCATGTTTGAAATACAGCTACAATTTTTATTCATAAAATTGGAATCTTTTCAATATCCAAATTACCACTAGACTGCAGCTGGCTGCTGGACGGTGTGTTTCCGAGAGCTGCTTCAGAACTGGGGGCAGAGGGATGCAACCCACACTCGGCCCGGGGCACCAGGAGGAGAAAGGTCTGCAGGGAAGAGAGCACCATCCGGCTGCCCGGACCCTCCCCAGCCTCCTCCAACGCTCACCTCCCGCCAGCCCCACCCTCAGACACAGACAAAGGCCCCTCCTCTCTAGACTCGCCTCTGTCACAGGGCTCACCTCTCCCGGCCTCCCAAAGTCGTGTGCACGGATGTCACAGCAGCTCTCTATTCCTAACAGCCCCAGACTGGAAACTACCCAGATCAGCCTTCCTTCGGTGTGTGCCTAGTGAACACACGCTCAGCAAAAAAGGGGATGAATGACTGATACACAGCAGTGTGGGCGGGTCTCAAGGGAACCATGCTGAGTGAGAGTCAGTCTCCAGCGGGTTACAGACATGACTCCGCGTCCACAACACTCTCCAAATGACAGAGGCGGAGACAGATCCGTGGTTGCCAGGGGCCAGGGATGAAGGGAGACCTTTGTGCCGGAGGGACAGTTCTGTATCTGACTGTGGTGGTGCCGTGGAGCCATACCTGTGCTCTAACTGCGAAGACCTGCACATACACCCCAGGGCAAGCTGTACCCCATGTTCTGTGAGAGGCCAACACTGGGGGAGGCAGGCACGGGGACCTGCTCGGGGCCTCCCCACACATTTCTGGGCACCCTCTTGTGAATCTCTAATCATCTTAAAAGAGGAAGTTACAAAGTACTAAGTGTCACAGTTGATTCCCTATGAGACTGATCTCCTCAGAACACAAACAGGTCGTACTCAGCAGGGTGGCCTGAGCCTTCCAGCATTTCTGTCAGGATGCCCTGCACACACAGCTTACTATCTTAAGTCAAAGAAAGCATTTACCACCAAAACACACAAAAATATTTCAGTTACTTCTGATAATAAAAGAGGAGCCCTGGTGGCACAATGGTTAAAGCACTTGGCTGCTAACTAAAGGGTCAGCAGTTCAAACCCACCAGCCATTCTGCGGGAGAAAGACATGGCAGTCTGCTTCTGTAAAGATTACAGCCTTGGAAACTCTATGGGGGCAGTTCTGCTCTGTCCTATAGGGTCGCTATGAGTCAGAATCGACGCGATGGCAGCGAGTGGTTCTAATAATGAAGTACGCAGTTTTGTTTTGTTTTGATCCTAGCTGTAAATATAACTTTTACGGTTTTGTTTTTTTAATTACTAGTTTAAAAATCAGTAGTTTATATGCCCAGAAGCAGCAAAGGCAGGAACACAAACAGAATCCTGCACACTAACGTTCGCTGCAGCACTTTTCACAACAGCCAAAAGGTGGGGACAACCAAACCGTCCAACAGATGACAGATAAGCAAAACGCGGCATCCTGTGTACACACAACGGAGCACGACTCAGCCACAAAGAGCAACGAAGTCCTGCTGGACGCCACCACGTGGAGGAACCTTGAAAACATCATGCTAAGCGAAATAAGTCGGTCGCAAAAGGCCAAGTTCTCTACGATCTCACTTTTGGGGGATAAGGAAATACGTAGAAACCAAAGATGATCAGTGGCCACCAGGGGTGGGCGGGGGGAGTTTCTGCTTGGGCGCAGGGCGTTTAAGTTAATGGTGGTGGATGATTTGGAAAAGCATAGCGAGAATGGTTTCGCAGCTTGAAGAATGTCATCTGCCACCGAACTGTACATGTAGAAATGGTTGAACTGGCGTATGTTTTATGATGTATATTTTCACTACAATTTAAAAAAATCACTGGTTTAAAACTGCAGTGGGCACACAGGTAGGAAGAGGGGCAAGAGGAACGGAACAAAGAGAGAGGCTGTACCCCAAGTTCTGTGAGAGCTTTGGGGAGCAAAGGCGAAGCGAGCGTGACCGCTCACCTGACACACGACCACACACCCTGACAGCCCCAGCCCTCCTGAGTCACTTCACTGTGCTGCAGCCCTCACACTCAGCAGCCCAGTAGTCCCCCAGGGCAGGGAAAAGAAGATTCCAGCATAGCCCTGGCCAGATTCTGAGTCCCTAGGGCTGGGATGGCTGGGCCAGCCTCAACCTTGACCTGAGCCCTGGCCACCATCACCGCTGAACTTCTAGCCGCCACTACCTCGGGAAGCGGATCCACAGTTGCAACTTCCATTTCCATAACATAATCAGGTCTGCTCTGAAATGCTTCGTCAAAGAAAACAGGGAAAGATGAGGCAGGTACGGTAAAACCTTGCAAAGCGCTGAGTCAGTGACGGGCAGAGGGGAGCTCCTTATCTTACTCGCAGGTCAGTCTGAAATTCCTCATAAACAATTATATTGCTTCAAGTATTTCTGCTACTTGGAATGAAATACGGGCACTGTCTTTTGCTTGGAAACACGTTCCAAAGGAAGTTGAGGGAAAATTCCTATCACACTTTCCAAAACAAAATTTGTTGTTGTGCCGTCGAGTGGATTCCAACTCACAGCGACCCTACAGGACAGAGTAGAACTGCCCCACAGGGTTTCCAAGGGGCGGCTGGTGGATTCGAACCGCTGACCTTTTGGTTAGCAGCCTGAGCTCTTAACCAGTTTACCACCAGGGCTCCAAAACATGTTGCTCTTCCTAAAAAGGAAGTGACTTTTTATTCTGATCTCAATTTTAATTATAAAATATGCTGAAACCTGAAACAGAGAGCAGTTGTATGCAAGAGTTTATAAGACATTAAACTTAATTTTGTAAATGGGTTTTTTTCCTGTGGCTCATTTGAAAAGATCGTAACCCAGTTCTCTTGTCCTGTGCATCCAAGACAAAGGCCACCAGAAAAGAAAACGCAACTGGGAAAACCTTCTATTTGGGCTTTTCCCCGGCCATCTGTTTTGGACACAACAAGCTTTTAAAAATCAAGAGGGAAGCTTGTTGCTGTTTTTTTTCCACATCCACCCCATGAGTGCCTTAGGACAGACAGAGGGGCTCACGGAGACTCAGTGACTCACCTACCCCAGTCCTGGGAATCCTCCTCCTCCTCCATCTACCTCCCTCCCTGCAGTCAGCCTCCATCTCACCAGGCAGCTTAAACTAGACCGCAAGAGACGCAGCCGAGCACCAGCTTTTAAACCACCCGAGGCTGGCAGCACTTGCTTCCGGAAGTTCCTAGACAAGCTTAGAGAAGCTGGGTCTACTGGGGGGGGGGGGCAGAAAACATTGCAAAATATACTTAGAATGCTCCTATTAAAAGCAATTAAGACGAAAAAAGGGGAAAGAATTAACTGAACACTGACCAGGCCAACAGCCAGCTCAGAGGCCGGCCTGCCCTGCCAGCCCACCAGGGTTCCAGAGAAAGGAGCTCCAGGCCATGCCATTTTGGAAAGTGGCTATCTTAAGAGCAAAACCCAGGTTCAGTAAGAGGCCCTAAGATAATATTCAAGCCTTCCACACTGGCAATGGCTTTGTTTTTTTGTTATTTGTTTTTTTTACACACCCCTTACTGTGCAAGGAATGCAAATTAGGAGTGAAACCTAGAAGGCAGCGTACAGCCAAAATGCATGGGTAGGGGGATGAATGGATGGGTGGGTGGGTGGATGGGACGGCAGAGGGACAGATGCAGATGGACAGATAGATGGACAGGAAGGCAGATGGATGAGAGGATGAATGGAAGGATGGACAGATGGACTGGGAGATGAACAGAGGAATAGATGGACAGAAGGACAGGCTGAAGGACGGATGGGTGAGTGAGAGAGGGAGGGGCAGCTAAGAGCTTTCTGGTCTGGGCTATAACTCAAGTCAGAGACAAGAGGCTCGAGGTGGAACGGGCACCCATGCTGGTCTTCAGCTTGGGACTGACAAGGACCAGGCGACAGCGAGTGACAAACGTGCAGGAAGGGTAGGGTCTGGCCTCTCCCAATCCCGGGCCGAGGAGGAGCCTGCAGTCAGCTTTTCCAAATCAAAGGTGAAGCAAGCGTTTGGGCTTCTCTAGGAGGCAATCTCTTCACAAGCAGCCAAATAAAACCACCTTTTTTTTTTTTTCTAAGCCACCAATTTGACTAAGGAGCAACCCTTTTTGATTCTAAATGGTACAAAACAGGCAAAGTTAGACTGTGGCCCAAACAGGAATTCCCAGAAGGCTGATGACTCATGCGGAGGGGGAGGCGCCAACGGTGCTGTGGCCGCAGGCACGTCGGCGGCTCTCGCGCCCCAGGCCCGTCTCCTGCGCCCCCTCCGCCCCCGGACGCTCGGGAAGGTCACCACGAGGCGCCCAGGGCTCCGGGCCCTGCGAGCGCCTCCTCGGTGGGCGCGGCCGGCGGCCACTAGGGTCTCCCGGAGTCCCACCGAGGCAGGGAACTGGCCCTGCCGGTGCCGCCGGGGTAGGGGGGCGCGGAGAGGACGGCGGGCCACCAGGGGCGCGGGGAGTCGGGGACATTGGGGGTCAGGCCCTCGGCAGTCTCCGGGTCATGTGGGGGGCCCCCGCCCGGTCTTCGCGCCACACAAAGGCCGCCGCCGGGCCGCCGCGGAGCCATCTTGAGCCCCCG